CCAATGAAGATTCCATAATCGATCTTCACCGCATCCGCGAGAGCGACCGAAGCGACAGCAAGGAAGGGGTGGTGGAATGGAGAAGAGAGAAAGAGGCCGAGGCCATAAGAGTTCAAGTTGTTGCATACAAGATCGCCCATGATGGCTCAGGATCCAAGAGCGTATGTCGCTTCGAGACGCTTCGTTGTGGAGTAGATTTGAGACTGAATGGCTCCAAGAAAGGGCGTGCGGCTAGCAGCGTCAGGACGGTAAACGTCCTCGTGAATATCAACAGATCACTGTGTTTCCTATTTATAGTATAGATGGTTTCGTTGGTTTAGTATAAATACGCACATGTAAATATGACGATTACTCACGAATTACTCTGTTTTGACGTAACTGTCGCGTGAACACCTCAAATTTTGATACGGGCATAGTATCGGGGTCTGTTATGGCGCAGAGAAAGGAGACGGGATGAGTCTGATATGACTAGGCCGATATTTTGACTGTCTTCCTTTGGTGTAGGACAGCTTCGGTGGCACATTTGGCCAGCACGTGGAGGTCAACGGCGCTCTGAGGCACTGCCGCCAAATTCCACCCTATGGATGACGACGTACATATCTTGCATCAGCGGCGGTCCAATGAATCGCATAAGCGAGATCGGTCTTGATGACTCGAAATCGACGAGCGTATGTCGCTTTGAGACGGTATTGGCATAGCATGTAGATCCTTTCGACGGGGATACAAGTACACCGATCGGGTTACAGCCGATAGGTCGACAAAGCGTTCGACAAAGGCGGCGACGGTCATGATAACTCGAGGATATAACGTGCGTGCGACGTTGAGGCATTATCGTCGAAATATGTTGATCTTCTGGACAATGGCGTGTGTATCTTGCAGCCGTGGTGTCCCAGCAAGTTACAGAATAACGATTGGTAGCAAAATTGGCTACGACGGTTCATAATCGATAGGAAAACATCGAGTTTGAGGCACTATTGCCGTGGCACATAGATCCTCTCTCTCGATGGTAAAACGCATAAATCAGTTGCGTTGCAGTCGATTGGGTGGTAAACCGTGGGTCGAAGCGATAGCAGTCGCGACAACTCAATAACCAAGATACGCATCGCGTCGAAGCACTGCCGTATAGACGCGCAGATCCTCTAGCGACATATCTGGTGGTCCAGCAGCTGGTAAGCTGTTGGGGCATCGGTTGTATTGGTGAGAAGAGCCAAAGTTCATCTGGACGTGAGAATGACGAGTCTATTAGCAATACATTCCGGATAATGGATGGGAAGACGATCAACTTACGAGTACTCCCAATTTTGGATGGATTTTCAAGTTGGAGACGTGGTTGTTGGGGGAGAAAGGTTGAGGGATAACGCCAAAAAAATGGCGCGATTTTTGGCATCCACCGATATCTGCCTGCTTCCCTTCGCCCTCCTACACTCCAACTCTTAACTTTGCCCAGCAATTATTCCAATCTTTGCAATCCTCCAATGTCTACCAGTGAACCCAAAGCTACTCGGAAACGTGCATGCTTCGACGATGAGGAATACACACCTGAAGGAGACAGGGATGCCAAAAAGATGAAAAATTCTGAAGAACCGGAGAATGCTGAACGTACACCATCTCCAGTTCCATTGGACCCAGGAGTGCTCAAATTGGCTGATGGGCGTACCGTCGTCCGCGCCGAACTCACCCTGACCTCAAAACATGGCCCTCCCGCATACTGCCACAAGAATAGCGACCCGATTGCTCGACAAGAATATATGCAATCTCTTTGTGATAATGCATCTCATTGGCTCCATAATGCTGGTAGGTTCTCTGTTGGCATGGTTTTGCAATGAACTAATGCAATATAGCTCGCTTGCAAGTGGAAGATATCAAGCTTTCTCAGCTTGAAGAACGACCTGTCAATGCTGATAAAGACCGTTTGGAAGCGCAGCTGGTTATGCAAGATATCGAAAAGGCGATTGCACGAAAGGAGCAACCAATTCATTGTTTCTCGACCAAGATTGTTGATAGAGATGGAAAACTGCTATGTGCATATTTCTCTAACCACGTTAAGGATGCAGAAATGACAGTGAGTGTCTTGGGATATGTTTCCTTACATGATGCTAATATCTATGACTGTGCTAGACTTTTCGTTCAGAGGAAGAATATCTTCAGTTCATGGAATCTACCCCTGCCAATAACATCACAAGGCATGGTCTCGAGCCTCATAATTTGGAATATACTGCTTTCTGGACTCAAGACTACCTTGGGACGGCAGGCGTGAAACCTGGCAAGGTCGACGTTCGACACGATCTCCGACATGACAATATCAAGAGGTTTCATCCAGACCATTACCATGAGGAATACTTCCTCTTTCAATCTTGTAGGGCACCTGATGTCTCCACCCCAATCCCCTCTACCTCACGTCATCAGCACCTTGCCAAACTCCACCAAGGAACCATTGATAGGCCTTCAGAAGATCAAGAGGCCACTCATTGGTACTACGAAAGGCGTGGAGTTCGGCATTTGGACCGTTTATGGAATGAACAAGGGAAGGCCTATTTGAAAGATACGGTTCTTTCTCGTTCTACCGACCTCTTGAATGGTTCAAACTATGTCACTGAGGGCAATACTGGTTGGATGGGCACTGTAAATCTATACGTGCAGGAGTTGTTGTTGCCAAAAGTGATTGCAACTTTTCCTCGTCCGTACTATGATGACTACAGGCGGACTTACCGAAGAGCTACATTGAATCAGCTCGAGGATACATTGCCTGGGTTTCATACTGGACATGTCATCGTGCACAAGCAACCCATCCACCAGCATAGAGATGCTGGGGATTCTGGTTTTTGTGTAACATTCTGCACTGGATCTTTCGATGGGGGTTATTTGGTTCTTGCAGATCTTGGCCTTGTATTCCTCTACCGCCCAGGAGACCTTCTCCTGTTCCGTTCACGTGCTCTTTACCATGGTGTTACTACCTGGCTTCCATGTGGTGGCATCAATTCCATGGGAATAACACCAGGTAGAACTGCACATGTGTTATACACAAGGGACTGTACTGTAGAGTACACAAAGGGTAAATATCCAGGTTGGGCTTGGAAGACGAATGTGGGAAAAAAAGCAGACCCCGATAAGGAAGATTTTCCTAAAGTTGCAGAGGAATTTCCCATTCCAGGCAGCCCAGTATTTGCAACATTGTGGCAAGAGAGTCTGCTTCTTCAAACTGACCCACGACCTGCACAGCCCATCAACGTTGCCCCTCACCTCAAGGGACAATTCACTTGACTAGTATCGCCCGATTTCTTAGAATGTAATTGCTTGAGATAGTGACTGCTCTAGATAGGACATATTGTCTTATTACTAATTAGACTAGAATAGTAGATATATAGGATGGAATAAAATGAATCAAGGGGGACGAAGCCCTAAGTGACGAGTCGAGATGATTCTGTGACAAAGACTTCCGATGGGATTATTCAATTATGTACAAAACAGACATCGTGTGCAAGTCATTAGGATCAAATATATTATTCTAACTAAAGGTAAGATGATTTAAAGTGATTGTGAGCTAGCAATTGATATAGCTGCCTATGGTGTGTCGATCTGCATCTGGTGCCGTTTGTCTGAGAGTTGATGACGCTTGTTAGGGTATTTATACTATTGCAAAATCAGAGAGTGAAAGAACTACATATTTTACCTACCCTGTATGCTTGTCGGTCCTCCACAATCACCTCAATGAGTTCACAGACTGGGTGTCCACCCATTTTCGACGATGCTGCACAGATTTTGAACCCAACTTTGCACATAACCAGTTGTCGCTTTCTGATGAGGGATGAGCTAATGGGTAGGGTCTGGCGTCTGATGGGGATAAGTTGGTTTATCAAAGCCTGGTGAATGTACCGACATACGTTTCTGTATCATTGGATTCGC